ACATTTGGGCTCTTATTTTAGTGATTTGGATTCTTCTGCTAAAGTTAGGGTTTTGGTGATCTTCTCTTTCTAGCTCTCTTAGGTGATTTGTTAGGCTCTCAACTTGTGATCTGTCCATTATTTTTTTTTTGAGTTGGAGTCTCACTGTGTCGCCCAGACTGGAGTGCAGTGGCCGCTCCCGGTCACCACAGCCTTGACCTGCTGGGCCCTGGCAATCCTTCCGCCTCAGCCTTCCGAGTAGCTGGAATTACAGGCACGCGCTACCACACCCGGCTGATTTTTTGATTTATTGTAGAGATGAGGTCTCGCTGCCCAGGTGGGTCTCGAACCCGCGAGCTCAGGCAATCCACTCACCTCAGCCTCCCAAAGGCACGGGATTACAGGCTGAGCCACTGAGCCCGGCATCTGTCCATTCTTGATGTGTGCTCATACAGACATAAATTCTTCTCCTAGAACTGTTTTCATGGCATCCCAGAAGTTTTGGTAAGATGTTTCTTCATTTTCATTTGTTTCCAGGAATCTTTAATTTCTGCTTTGAGTTCAGTGTTGACCCAGTAGTTTAGCATCATGCTGTTTAGTATCCATGTCTTTGTGGGCTTTGGGGAAATTTTGTTGGTGTTGATATTTATTTTTATTCCACTGGTACACCCTAACTTCTTACTCAAAATAACTCCTGGAAATGTTTCTGCATCAACTAGTTTGCCTCAAATTAGTTCCTTTAGGTAGGTGCCAATTTCTTAACATGGACTTCTCATAATTTATTCAAACTTTCACCTACTGATTAGGTTCAACTGATATCCAGTACTTTTTCCTTTTTTTTGGTCACTACAAACAAAGTTGCAGATGTTTATACAGATATCTCTAAATATGGGTGCTTTTAATTTTATGGGTGAAATTCCCAGAAGCAGGACTGAAGGTCATGTACATGTTGAATTTTGCTGGGCATCACTGGAACATTTTCTCAAAGGTGCTAACACTTGCCATCCCCATCTCTGATGCCTGGAAGTCCTCTCCCCATCATGGCAACACAGTGCCAGCTGATGGACATAGTGTTGCCTTAATATGCATTTGTGAACAGTAGCAAATTTGAACCCAGTTCACATATTTCTTGGAAGTCTGAATTTCTTGTCTGTGAACTGTCTATTCATGCCCTTTGTCCACTGTTCCTTTGGGTTTCCTAACTTCATATTCATTCCTAAGAGGAATATAATTTTATTCCTCAATTTTTACTTTTTGTATTTTCATCCAAATCTTTAATCCAGTCATTGATTTTTAATAAAATAGGGATTCTACCTTTATTTCTTCCAGCTGAATTACTAGTAGTGCCAACACAGTTTATTAAATAAGCTACACATTTTACATCATTTGTCAAATATTCCAAATTTACTATTCTGTTGTACTGACCTTTTTGTCTATTCTCATGCAATATCATAATGTCATTATGGTATTTTAAAACATGTTAATCTTTTTCATATTTTCATCTCATATTATGAAATGCTATCTTTTTCACACTTTCCTTGATAATTAAATCCTGAACATTCTTTCATATAAACATCAAGCTTATGTTATTCAATTAAAGAAAAAACATGCTGAGATTTTCATTGGAGATGCATATCATATAAATATGAACACTGGGAGCACTGAACTTTCCAAGTAACAAGTTTCCCACCCACGGTCCACACTTCCAGTTCTTCAGACTTTGGTACCTGCCACATGGATTCTACGGCTTTCTTCTTATAGGTCCTGTGTCCAGAGAGGCTTGGGTACACACACTCAAACCAGTCAATGTCACCAGCCCCTAGCTCCACGGACCCTTGCAGCTTAAGCTCTCTCTGAGAAGCCTCTGCTTTCAGGTTTCTGATCTGGGGTAGCCCAGGTGAAAAGAGCCCCCCAAAAGTTCTCCACCAGCAGGGGCACATACACCTGCCTGCCAGCTTGGGCAGATGTTTTTCTCAAGTAATAGAGCTGTAGGGAGAAGGGACAGGGTTGCATTTTTAACACCACTATCCTCCCAGTCATGGTTTAATCATCATCTTTTTAAATATACATTTTTAATCAGAGAAAAAGAAAATTAATCAGCAGTGATCAAAAGTAAGTCTAAACATTCCACACTAACCTAAATCTGACCTGCTATGCCCTGATGTCCTATAAATGGCATTACAGAATGATAATCATTTATAATTCACAACTCCTGGTGACTGATTTCAAGTAAGCAAATATATTTTATTTCTGTTTTGTTTATACTCTTCTAGAAAATACAGGCTATAGATAATTATTCAAACTGTCCCTTGGGTGCATATAATCATTACTACTTCCAGTTTCATGTATGCCATTTATAACATGAGCTGAAGAATGTGAAAGCTTCATGAGATCGAGTCTAAATTCTTATATGTGGTATGGTATTTTAACCTGTCTCAAAAGGCAAAGAAACCCATGGGATTCAATGTGAAGCAAATCCACCCCAGGCACGTCTAAGGTACTAAGTGTTTAAGAAATTCTGGGCCGGGCTCGGTGGCTCAGCCTGTAATCTCAGCACTTTGGGAGGCTGAGACGAGTGGATCGTCTGAGACCGTGGGTTTGAGACCCACCTGGGCAACTTGGCAAGACCTTGTCTCTACAATAAATCAAAAGTTAGCCAGGCATGGTAGTGTGTGCCTGTAATTCTGGCTACTTGGAAGGCTGAGGTGGAAGGATAGTCGGAGCCCAGCAGGTCGAGGCTGCGGTGACCAGGAGCATGCCATTGCACTCCAGTCTGGGTGACAGAGTGAGACTTCAACTCAAAATAAATAAATAAATAAATTCTGGGTGTGATGTTTGATTACACTCAAGTAATTAAATGCTGGAGAGACCCTGAGGCAGAGAGTGTTGAGAGCTGGGACTCTGGAGCCAGCCCGAACCACCAAGAATTCTCTTGAGGGAGTACAAGCCCTATATAGGAGAATTAAGCTCCCTCAGCCTCAGTTTCCTCATAAGGACACTCACAGGGCTGCTGTGAAGATCATATTAAATAATGAATGTGGGCACGCTGCACTTTGTCACACCATGGGGCTCTGTAAGCAGCAGTTTCTGTTACTGTGGCATACTGAACTAAGACTTCACCATAAGATCCCCTCCCCAGTAAGCCCTGAGTGGCACGGACACTTCCACACACAGGTTGGGGGTGGGACGCCTTGAGAGGGACCACCAGAAAAACCGGGAGAGTGACTGGAACAACCAATGCTCACATCCTCTCCTGTCTGATGGGGGCCCTCATGGTTGTCAGATGGACTCTGAAGGTTGTATTTCCTGAGAAAGCTCCTCCAAGGCCTGCTCACCTTATATAACACATCTGTCCTGAAAGCCCCAGTCTATTGGGTGGTAGCTTCATGTTGATGCCCATCCTCCACTCAGTATTTGAGGCAATCCCCCATCTGGAAAGACATTTTCTACTCCACAACCCAAACCCAACCTTTCCCAGTCCATCTTGAAACGCTATGCAAGCTCCCTGACTACACTCAGTCCTTCAATTCCAGTGTGCTCACTGAGTCTCCTCAGCAGTCTCTACCATTTATAATTGCCATTTTCTGATCTGCTTGAGTATTGCTTTAACTAGGAAGACAAGAAGTAGTAGGATGCAGATTTCCAGTGGCTGGTTGTTAGTACTGACTTTAGAGTTCCCCGTTGAGTGGATGAGTGTATATTAAGGTCTACCAACTCTTTTCTTGTTCATCTCTCTCTTTTGAAAATCATGCTTTGAGGTCGGGTTTGTAATCCCAGCACTTTGGGAGGCTGAGGTGAGTAGATTGCCTGAGCCCATGGGTTCGAGACCAGCTCAGGCAACTTGAGACCTCGTCTCTACAATAAATCAAAAATTAGCCAGGCGTGGCAGCGTGTGCCTGTAGTTCTGGCTACTTGGAAGGCTGAGGTGGAAGGATCGCCGGAGCCCAGCAGGTTGATGCTGGGGTGGCCATGAGTAGGCCACTGCACTCCAGTCTGGGTGACTGAGTAAGACTCCAACTCAAAAAAAAAAAAAAGGAAAGAAAATCATGCTTTTAGAGGTCTGCAAACATTTCTACAGTCAGCTTGAAGGGCATGAACATTTCCTGCTTACCAGGGGTTAAGGAGGAATTTTACAGTCTTCTGAGTAAACAATTAACATTTATGGGAAGTAGCCAGAGAACAGGGAACATAGAACTGTCCACAGAAGTTCCAAACCCTCCACCATCGGGGCTTCAGAGGGCAGTTGTCTAGCACTCAGTCACGGTGGGACAGGAGGAAGCACAGCTTCCAAAGTCACAGAGCTGCAGTCCTGGATCTGTGCCCCGGCCAACCACTGGAAAGTGGTGAGGGGCAATCAAGCTGGAAATGAGCTATCTTTGGCACCAGACAATTTCCTTGTTCCTTCCATGATCGAGAGTCAAAAGCCATTCAAGCCTGCCGACAGTCTACAGACAAGATGATGTAATTCCAGTGAGGGTAAAAAAATTATCCAGCTTTTTTTCCAAGTTATAACTGGTTGTTATGTAGGATTGTTTACTTTAATCTTCTTTTTCCCAAGTCTAGTCAAACACCTGCTTAACAACTTCCTGCCCACTCATCATTTGCCCAAAAACTCAGTGTTCTAAGAATAATGGAGAACCACCTCCGCAGCCAGACTCGGGGTCAAAATGCACTAAAAGTTAAAGCAATTTGGGGAATGATTTAAGACTGGATGTATTTGGAAGGAAAGCCACATGAGATAAAATGCATCTTTACGTTTTAGAATTCTGAAACTGTCAACTAATATCACTAAAAGTATACTACCGCTGAAATTATAAATCCTAAAAACATTTAGAAATGTTTAATTTCAGAAAAGGGAAACTGAAACACCAAAGCAGCAAAATAACTTGTTTCTAAATAATCTGTTGTCTCCATTTATCTGGCTACCATCCCCAACTCCCTGCATCAAAGGTTCTTAAAGTAATTAGTTCCCTACAGAGATTACAGGTAGAATACAAAATCAAGGGCTGTTCATTTCTTACCTTAACTATGCTGATAGGCTTTCGAGATAAGTGAAAACTTGCATACAGCAGAAATGTCAAAATAAAAATGAAGGCTCTGTACCTGAAACACAAAGCGGTGGCAAAGGATGATATAAATAATAGAAGATATGTTTAAAATGCAGTATCACTGTGTTCTTAAATGTTCCGATGCTGTATATTATTCATTTTGTCCTTTATCAATTATCGACAGTACTTATAATGTCACTACAATATTAGAACATTAAAAAATGTTGCCACTTTTCTTTGTTCAATTGAAATTATTTAACCATTGTAAGAAATAGGAAAAATCAAACCATTTTTTCTATCCTCACACATGACACACAACACACCAGGTATATATGTAGGGTTTTTTTTTCCAAGCCATTCTCCAGCAGATGCCAATTGAATATCCTCTAATTCAATTCAATCCCGACACCACCTTCCAAGAGTTAGCATCAGATCCACAGGGTAAGGGCTCATTCCCACAAAACTACACCACTCCAGACACAAATGGCTGACCACCCCTATACATCAAGGCTCCCAGGAACCCCTCCTCAAGTTCAATTAATTTGCTAGAGTAGCTCACAGAATATAGAAAAACTCTTTACTTCCGTTTACCAATTTATTCTGTTACAAAGGGCACAGATGAACAGCCAGGGAAAAGATGCACAGGACAGGGTATAGGAGAAGGGGTTCAGAGCATCTATGCCTAGGCCACTCTTCTGGAACTCCATGTGCTCAGCAGTCTGGAAGCTCCCAGAATCCTCTCCTTGTGGGATTTTATGGAGACTTCATTACATAGGTACGACTGATTAAACTATTGGCCACTGGTATCAGCTCAACCTTTGGGGGTCTCCCCTCACCTAGAGGTCGAGGGGTGAGAACGAAAGTTCCAATGTCTAATCACATGGTAGGTTGCCCTGGTAACCAGTTCCCATCCAGGCTGTCTTGGAGCCCCAGCCACTAGCCTTGTTATTAGCATACAAAAAGACACTCAGCACTCTAATGGTTTTAGGAGCCATGTGCCAGGCACCAGGGCCAGAGATCAAACATGCATTTCACCTTCTATCTCAATATCACAAATATTCATTAAAAAACAAACAAACAAAAATAACCAAAGAGAAATTTGGGACTCAAGATATATACACACATGTTTACAAAACAGACAAGAAGGAATATTTATTTAGTTTACAACACAATTAACTGCAAGCTTCTTATGTAGCCTGCTATCCTGGGTACTTATGATCATATTTATTTTTGGCTTTTTAGTTTCTACGCAACTTTTCAGAAGTACACAAGCAAGGCAGACATATAAATATTTCACTGACCTCAGTGAGAAAAAGTCAGTGGTGCTGGCAAGCTCTGAATAGGTCAATGAAAAAAACCACTGGCACGAGCCCCCGGCTCTGCTTGGCCATGAGAGTAAGTATGAGACATGCTGTGGACGCAGAAAAGAAGGTGATTTGGTAAGAAGAGAAAAGCTCATTCCAGTCTAAAAGTATGAACAACCTGTAGAAAAATATTACATAGGGCAACAAAAAACAAGTTGGGAGAAATAACTATTTGATAAGAGATAAGGTAGAGGGGATCCGGCCAGGAAACCGTGTTTCTGAGTCCTAAGACACAGCCCTGGAGAGCCTGTCTTGTTTCCGGCCTGGAAAGGCCACTTCCAATTGTGCAACCAACCGCTGGCATCACCAATTACCTAAGGCGGTGTCCCAGATAGAACAAAGAAGGGCAGCTGGCACTACCGGTGCAGAGGAGTCCTTTCCCCAGAAAAGGCCCAAACGGATTACTTCTTCCAGCTGCACATCTATTCCTAATGCCTGGGATTCACTCTTCAGGGAGCTTTCTGTGAATGAGTCAAAATCCTAGAATCCTAGGGCTGTCTGCCCCTCTAGCTACTGGCGAAAGTAGGGGTCAAATCAGTATTTCCAGATTTAAAAATAAATAAAGATCATATTTCAAGTGGGAAAGAAAAATGGTTGGTGGGCCTGTGGGACTCCAATCTACAACCTCTGGAATGTCTGTGCCTTAGGGAAAGGAAAAAACAAAGAACTGCCCCAATGCTCTCTTCTTCAGGGAAACATCTACTGGTGGTTTTCTAGGATTCTTTTCTCTCCAAACCCAGGCCAATGAGCAGATAGGAAGAAAGTGAAGCTAAAAAATGAGTGTATAATTTAGCCCAAAGCACAAAGGCTATGTGGGCACAGTGGATTTGCTACAAAAGTCTAAGCCTTCGTTGCTGTGTTTCTGAACATCACCCTTTCTGGCAGGAAATGAATTCTCTCAATTCTTTTTGTTGTTGTTACTTAGTTTTTAATTCTCTGCAATCCAACTAGACGTGGAAGGGAATAAGGAAAATATGGAACCCAAAGAATTGTAGCAAGAGCACAAAGATTATAGGGATACTGTGAGCAAATGGGATGAAGGGGGTGATCTCCTGAGCTACAGAAGGAATAATCTGGTAGTTTAAGACAAAACAAGTCAAATTTATTAGAGTTGTCCGCAGTCAGCAATGGTGATCTTCTTGGTGGTCTTGCCATTCTTGGACCCAAAGCCCTCCATGGCTTGCACAACATTCATGCCCTCTTTCACCTTGCCAAAAACCACATGCTTGCCATCCAACCATTCAGTCCTAGTAGTGCAGATGTAAAACTGGGAACCATTTGTGTTGGGTCCAGCATTTGCCATGAACAAGATGCCGGGACCTGTATGCTTCAAGATGAAGTTCTCATCACCAAATTTCTCCCCGTAGATGAACTTGCCACCAGTGCCGTTATGGCGTGTAAAGTCACCACCCTGGCACATAAACCCTGGTATAATTCTGTGAAAGCAGGAACCCTTATAACCGATTCCTTTCTCTCCAGTGCTCAGAGCATGAAAGTTTTCCGCTATCTTTGGAAATTTGTCTGCAAACAGCTCGAAGGAGACGCGGCCCAAGGGGTCGCCGTCAACAGCGATGTCGAAGAACACAGTGGGTTTGACCATGGCTGATGGAAAAAGGCTCAAGGCGGCAGCGTCTGCAAAGCCTCCTCTCATTTCTTTAGTTGAAGGTGTCTGTTGTGTCCCCCACCACTTCTCTGCACCTCAGGTGGCCAGTGTAGAAGATTCCAGGCCACTGGAGCACTGGAGATTCATCAGCCCCAGTGTCCATGTTTCCAGCCCACAGCTAGGCTTGCCGGTCACTCACCTCCCCCTTCTGTAGCTGAATAGGACAAAGGTGACCAGTGATGACCCTATCTGCCCCCATCTGAGCACAGGGTTCTCTTTTCCCATCTCACAAGAAGTCTTGCAAAGTCCTCAGACTGAGTGACCTCCAGCACCTCCCAAATCAGTGTCAGAGAAGAATGTGGAGTGCATCTTGTGCCCTGAGGATCCTATATACTCACTACCAGTTTTTCAGGGGCTACCAGCTGGGAGATCTGAATTTCAGTCACCCAGTGAAGGAAGAATCTGAGAAGAGCAGCTCTGTCTATGCACCCTGGGTTTGTGCTTTCTACCTTCCCCAGAGAGTACAGAAGTTGGTGCTCTCTCCCCTAGAGGGATCAAATCTGCAGAGTGGGCCCTCCTGTACACTGCACTCCCGGGTCAAGGCTGCTGGGTGATCAGACCCTGCCACCAGCTTGGGGCTCTTGCCCTCCTCCTCTACCAGGTCAAACCCGGGTGTTATTCAGCACAGTGCACATGCAGAGGTGACTCCCGTGAGCCCTCCTGGAAGTGCTAAGCTGGAGCCCAGAGATACCATCAACCAAAGGAGGGGGGTGACACATGCTTCTGGAAATTTCCAGTTCGGTTTCGTGTAGAGGTGAGATACTTTGATGAATTACCCCCTTGGGAAAAGCAGCTATCTGTGGTTTAGCTGTATTCTCGAGAGAAGCTGTCCTATAGAATCAGGGTGAAGGGTGAATTTACACTGCAAACTGGAATCTCTCTAGAGACTGACACGAAAAACCCCTATCTTTATTTAGCCAGTATCAGGCCAATTCTCTTTCTTCTGTTTCCAAATTCACCCTTCCTGATTCATTTTCCTCATCTTCTTTACATAGCCCTTGGGGACAGGGAGGAGCCAGTGGCTGGCAGTTGGGTATACCCATCCAAGAAGGCCTGACCTCAGCTCCCACCAGTCACAGTCATGCTGCAGCCACCACACTCAGATGGCTGCCTTCCTAGTGGCCATCTCAACACACCTCCAGAGAAAGCAGATATTTTACTTCTGCAGGATGATTCTGGGTTATGGGGTTAGAGTATCAAACAGCCCTCCCAAAGTCCTTTTCCCATTTCATAATTCTATCTTCATTTTCTTTATTTTGTTCTCATTTGTGAAGCAAGGGTTCTCATCCTATACTGGGTTGAACAGTGCTCCCAAAATTCATGTCCACCCAAACCTTACAACGTGACCTTATCTGGAAGAAGGGTCTTGCAGACATAATTAGTTAAAGTAAGGTCATATTAGTTTAGCATAGGCCCTAATTCCAGTGACTGATGCCCTTATAAGGAGACCAGAGAAGACACACAGAAAGGGAGGAAGGTCATGTAACCGTGGAGGCAGAGATTGGTGTGATGCTGCTGCAAGCCAAGTACTGCCCACGACAGCAGAAGCTAGAAGAGGCAGGAAGGATTCTTCCCTAGACCCTTCAGAGGGAGCATGGCCCTGCTGACACCTTGATTTTGGCTTCTGAACTCCAGTATTGTGAGAGAAAACATTTCTGTTGTTTTAAGACACCTAGTGTGTGGTACCTTGTTACAACAGCCTTAGGAAATTAATATAATCCTTTTGCTTTGTGCTATATTTGGATTTATAAATCAAACACAATAAAATATAAATTATCTAATTCTTTTACTCATTGGTGTTTCACTTACTTTCTGCAGTTATGACTAATAGTAGCAGTCTTTGTACCCACCAACACAACAAAAATAGTGTGTGGGTTAACACCAAGTTTCTAGCAGCAGTACCACCACCACCACCAACAACAACAAAAGCAAGATTTAACAACAACAACAACAACAACAACAATAACAATAAATGAGAACAAACAAGAACAATAACAACAATTATATTTTCTGGCCCAGATTCAACCAGGACCACACAGGACAGGCATGAGCCTCTGGAACCTTCTTGGGAATGTTCTTGAATACCACATGTTCACAGATGAACAGCAACCTGCTGTTCATGCAGCTAAGAGGCTCCATGCAGATTATCTATCTCCTTGTTTGAGTGTTATTTATCTCAGTCATACACAAATAAGGAATAAACAATGCTTTTGAGAATTACTGAGCAATATGACTTGGGGTAGAAACCAGTCCAAAGACATCCTTAATTTAAAGACAATGAAACCAATCAGAGAAATAATGCCAAGTCCTTTAAGAGCACCATTAGGAAGCACATGTGGTGATGACATTAATGCAAGCCATTGGTTAAGAGGCCTTCTACCACAGTGTCTCCCATTGAAACTACCACTTCTCCCTCTAAGTAATGAATAGAATTTGTGGGGACCTACTTTGACATAAGTAGATATCCTGTTCCTCAAACTGTCACTCCATTGTGTATGTCCCCTGATGCTCTTCTGATGGCTCCAGCCAGTGGCCTGCTAACTCACGGCCTTTGGCCTCTCCTGGGAAGGAGCACTCTCCTTTTTCTTGACATATTTAGTTATATCAGTATGGGCTCACTACATTCTTATGACATTCAATGTACTATAAACCATTATGAGTATCATTTCTTTTAAATCTCAAATTCTGCTAGATTTGGCCGGCAAGAGTCCTTTTGTTTTTAAGTACTTCCTACTTTCTGGCACAGGATATTCCAGGTTCATGTCTTACTCTCCCTGCCCCAGTCCTGGCATCAGCCATCTCCAAGGGCTCCTGGTTCCTTTTGGCGGGAAATGGCACACAGAAATGACCTCGGAGCGAGGAGGTGCTGCTGAGGAGCACTGTGGAGGTGCTGCTGTTGCCAGGACCTCCTAGAAGGATGCATTTCACACACATACACACACACACACACACACACACACACACACCTATGCATATCTATCATCGTATCTACCTCCACTAGTTCCTCCTGAGACCTTCAACAACCCAGCACCATCTGATTCCTCCTAGTTCCCCCTTCCCATATTTGTAGTCCTTCTTTATCAGTGAGAAAGCTTTTTCTGTGAGATTTCTGTCAAAAATGCATAATCTGAATCTAATCATGAAGAGATAACAGACATACCCAAAATGAGAAACAGTCTATGAAATACGTGGCTTGAACTCTTCAAAAATGTCAAGCTTATAAAGGATGAAAAAGGCTGAGAAACAGTTCCAGATCAAGAGTCTAAAATCACAGGGTTAACTAAATGCAATGTAGGAGGCTGAATTGGATCCTGGACAGAGGAAAAAATGCTATAAAAGATATTATTGGACATTTGATATAGTTTTTAATATGGACTATGGATCAGATAACAGTATCTTATCAGTGTTGAACTTCCTGGTTTTGAACTGATTGCTATGGTTATGTAACAGAATGTCTTGTTTATAGGAAATATACACGGAAGTGTTTAAAATAAAAGTGTATGATATCTGCAACTGATTCTCAAATGGTTCGCTCAAATCTGTGCATGTATACACACACACACACACACACACACACACACACACACACACCTGTAGGGAGCAGGGACAGAAGCAAATAAGGCAAAATTTTTGTAACATTGCTACAAATTTAGTAAGTTCTGTGAGTTTCAAGTTATATCAAAATAAAGTTGCAAAATAAAACAAACTAGATGCTCACTAAATAAAACCCAAATGCCTAAGCACCTGTGGCTAGATTCACAGTAGTCAACAAGGGAACCCATCTGGTCAAAGAATGCAGATGTGTTCAAGTCAAACCTGAGATACCACCAGCTAGCACCCAGAAGCTGCTTAGGGGGTGAGGCCCTTGAGGGGTGGTCTATGTAGAGGAGATGAATGGGCTGGATATGCTGCTCAGCATCAAAATCATTCTGAGCAGAAGGCATTGGTGTTCCTGAATCTCTTATCTGCCTAAAAGTACAGGCTCCCAAAAGTACTCAGAGTAACTTAACTGTCATAAATCCTCTCCTTGGCAGCAACCAGGAAAGACCAACTCTTATCACTGGAGATGAGAGGTCTCCACTCTACATTAAGCAGACATTATCACAGGACATCATATTGCCCATCTCTTCTCTTAAGGGCCCATTTATTTTTCCCAAAAGTCACCTGTTTCCCTATAAAGTGTCCTTTCTCCTACTCTCCTTCGCTATTGAAGATGGCATACAAGCCCCAACTTCTAAAAGCCACTATAAGTCACATTTTTATGTTACCACCCATCTATAGGTGATTAAACCTGTCTTTTCTCTTGCTAATCTGTCTTTTGCCAATTTAATTTGCAGGTCCCTCAAAACAGAGCATACAGGGTAGAAGAAAAGTTTTCCTCTCTCAAAAGAGATCAGCAGGGCAGGTTAGAAGCCAGAGAGCCCAGCTCTGGATTGTGCCCACACCATCCATCTAATTTCTTCAGTAGTATAAAATGAACAAATCCACCTGTGAGAAGGAGAGGCTCTCTGAACAGAAGGTTGTATTCTGGTTTCACCTAATTTTGTTTCAATGCCATTTTCTACCTGAAAGTTCTGTGCCAGCCAGGCCACTCATCTGGACTCAGAGCTACATACTTATTTCACCCACAGCCACTATATAATCCTGCCAGTAGTTGGTGGTCATTTTTCTGTAGGGACCATGATTATTACAGAAACCACTAAGGACCATGGTGGAGTACAAACGCCATCTGTCAATGCCAGTTCCAAAGACAAAGGACAGCTAAGCAATGTGCCATGTCACAGCTTCCACAACCAATAAGCAATTCAGCAGTGATGGAGGAGGCCCAGCATCCAGTTTTATATGTTTTATAGTGAGACTGGGTCAAGAAAACCACCCACATAATAGCCCTTTCCCATACATAGCACCACGCCAAAGGACAGACCAGCCAGGACTCACCACTGATCTCTGGAGAATGAGACGATGAAGTGGATGCCAGCGGGGAGTCGAGCCATTTATGTCACCACTGACCACAGATCTTCAGTCACAAAATAAGATGCTTCATAAATAGTTCTTAATCCTGGCTCCAGGTCCTCTCACCTACCCCTGCAGCTCACAGGCTGGAAAGTGCCGCAAGGTATCCTGAAGGGTCTCGTCCTTTCTTCCTTCCAGCAGCAGCTCTGCTCTCTGCAAGAGAAGGAGAGGCCTTCAGAGGCAATGGCACCTCCAAAGGCACTGGCAGAAGCAATCACACAGACATGTAGTTATGCCATGTGGTCCTGATCAAAGCCGGACTTCTGATTGAGCGGTAGTTCCAGACCCCTCTCCACCATGAGTGCTACTAAGAGGAGGTGCAGTGTCTGCCCTCAGGGTGATCTGTTTAGAGACCACAGAAATGAATTTCAAATGATGTTTCTGACAGTGTATGAAAACCCAGGAGCTCATCTCCATCTGGAAGGCATCTAGAGATCAACCCATTCAATCTTCACCATGATGCACCACAGAACTAAGATTGACATTCACATAAAACCTAGTATGTGTCTAGGGGTCACACTGTGTTCCCAATTATCAGAGCATGCCAGGACACTGGAATTGCTCAAGTCCACCCATCCATATGGACCAGGCCACCTTCTAGCTACAGTATCAGGAGAATAGGCCTGGACCAGACAGAAGATCAAACCATGCATTCAACTTTGCCATTCAAATGGAAATGGATCTAATGCTGCGGAATGATGGCTGCCTCTAACTGCCGCTTCCTCTTTTATCTCCTGTGGTCACCTCAGAGGTAGTGGAAAATCACCTCATTGTGAAGGAGAGCAATACAGAAAAGGATGGGTAGGGAGACTGAGCACTGAGAAGGGGTCCAGCACACCAGATAGCCTGGTCTCTTATTCCAAAGCCAACCTCATGATTTACATGCCTAAGTCACCATATCTTCCAAAAGAGATGGTTCCCCCACATTCATTTTTGTCCTCCCTCCAGAGTGAGCTTTCAAAAAATGCCCATTCTTCCACAATTTTCCTTTATACTGAAACCACCTATAATCACCTTCCTGTCCTGACTCCTGGGGTGGGGCTAGACTGATTAATATATTGTTTCTTAAACAATGGGCCTAAAACTGCTGGAGGACAAGAGGCTGTTTGAAGGACAAAGGGGCTTCAATCTCCAGAGACCCCACCTTCCCCACACTTCCCTCCTAACCTGCCTCCGTAATGGCTCAAGGCCTGGACTGCAGGACCTGAGGGACTTGTTTCTAGAAAGCATATATTGTAAAACCTAAGAATGGAACTCTGAGGGACCCAACTCCTGCCTAGGCCCAGAATACCAGGAAGTCCTCTACCAGTCCTGTAACTGCCAAGACAGTCTCAATACCCCTTTATGACATCATCAGTCAATCAATAGCTCCAATCCCTCTGCCTGCCAAGCTACTTCTAAAAACTCTATCCTCTGAATTTTCAAAGAGGCAGATTTGAGAGATTTCTCCCACCCTCATTATTCAGTTGTGTTGCAATATTAAACTCTCCACTGTAATGGCTCCATCAGTTTGGGGTTTTCTGGGCAAAGGAATCTGGTCTGGTTGTAACAGTACTAACCATTACAAAACAATAGTAACCTTTTACAAAAAGATTCTAAATCCTCACTGAGCTTCCAACTCAGAAGCTACCCCTCCATCTCCTCTCTCTGCTTCGGCTAGAACTACACCTTTTTCCTAGGCCCTGACAGGGCTGTAATAGGTAAATTAATTCCACCTGGAATGCCTCCTGCCCCTAGGCAAGCCACTTCATCTTTCTGCTCCCTTATCTTCCTTCCCAGCTAATCAACAAGGATGATGGTGCCTACGCTGTTATAAAAATGAACCAAGATAATCTATGGAATGCACTTGGTACCTGGCCTGGTACACAGTAAGTGCTCAATAAACACTAGTTAATATTATTCTCACCATAAATTCAAGAGAGGAAGGCCCAGGACTGCAGGTGACTGTCCTACTTCTTGCTCCTAATTCAAAACCCAGCAAGAACAAATGCTCAAGAAACTTATGTTGAACGAACGTTCACAAATGCTTCAAAAGTGCTTCTGCTAAAATTCTGCTCAAAATAAGTGGGTTCCATTTTGGATCTTTTTTTGAGAGCCAATTTTTTGGGGTTTTTTTTGAGAAACAACTTTGTAATGATGACTTCAGAGTAGAGAATTTGGTTTAAATTTTACAATGTCTAAAAATAGACGGTCAGAAACAAACTTCTTCCTTTCAAATGCTGCTTCTCCATGCCCAGCATGTCTGGAAATAGTCCACTGTCTTCTACTAAATAAATTTTAAAAACCCTCAATTCCACCCTAATAAAACCTGGAACAACACTGAAGACCCAGAAGACAGAAAAATCACCTGGGAAACAAAACAAAACAAAATAACAACAATAAAAAAAAACCCCTTGATTTCTTTTTAAAACAATGATGGGTTCTTTGCTCTGTTAAATGGGTGAAAGTGAAAGTACTATAAATTTCATAATGAGTGCAATTAAGATGTGTAAAGATTGGGATTTTACAAGTAGGATGCTGAGAGCTCAACTTAATGAGGCTCTTCCCCCTGAGCCTGTGTTGCACCTACTACACTGAGTGCTGGGCATGACCTCTGGGGTCATTAACCATGACAGGCTCTCATCTGAGCCCCATGGCCACCCTGAAGAAGAGGCAGGGCATGCATTTCACAGGGGAGAAAAATGAGGTTAGGCAGCTCCGGCTGGTCAGCTAGATATGGCAGGATAAATTCCAGTTTGTCCTGTTTCCCTGAGTCACCTCCTCCCTCCAGCCACTCTTCTTCCTGCCCATCCCCTACAAAGCAAGGGCAGCAGAATGAGAGCAAATTACTTGGTTGAAGCCCTATTTTGGCACACATCCCAAGTACATAAAAAGAAGACAGACTTTTAAAGTCACTCTTTATAAGCTCCCTTGGAACTTACCACCCCACTAGGGCAAGGTGTCAGAATGTCCAGCTTCATGGTACTATCAAAGACAGCAACCTAGGAAACAACCCATTAGAGCATCTCTGTTCAGACCTGTCAAATGCATGCTTTTATATGCATCTTCTGCAAAAGCACAGCCTAGGCAACTCTACAACCAAATGACCTGAGGGAAACATACATCTTCAAGCCCCACTCTCAGACCCATCCATCTGGTTGATCTCTTTGCCTAGAACAGTTTTGGATACTTGTGAAGACTCAAATAATGAGACTAAAAAGTGAGAAATAGCAAGAGTAACATCAAAAGGGTCTTTCCGGGGCTGAAGCATATATAATCAAATAGCCCACAGATATTTTAAATCATCTACTTAATGACAACATTTTAAAACTGGGTTTCATTTTAAAGGCAAAGGTGAGTGCAAAAGCATGCTCCCTTCCAAGAAAAGTTTTCATGCATTTTTCTTTTTTCACATCAAAGGATAATATGCAACTTCCTTTTCAGAGTAAACATTTTCTATGGTCTTGTGCTCTATTAAAGAAGAGAAGAAAAGAAATGGTTAGTAACTCTTCCTCTGGTCTTAAGTACAAGGAATCTGAATTCCATCTGCAATACCTCCCTCGCTGCCACCCACCCCCCACCTCAAAAAAACAAACAGGACACCAAAGGTGATCTGCACAAAACAGATGTTGTAAACACAGTTTCAAAACGACTTGTTGAGCGCAGAGGTCTAGAGCCAGGAATTCTCAAGCTTCCTCTAACCCGGGATTAGTGAATTAAAAGGGGGGAACGTCTAGTATCTTTACCCACTCACACAACTTCGGATAACTTAAGTCTAAAAACAGGTGGGTGGGCAGGCACCCTCCAGGCAGTGAGCTACTGTAGACCAGGTTTTGGAATTCCTGCTTTAGACATTCAAAACTGAGAGGGGGGAGGGGGAGGCTTTTCAGCATCCTCCCTTCAAATGCAAATCCTTAGACTGTACCTCCTCCGTCACCAGAATCGGAGCGTGGCCTCTAGGGCTGGGAAGGCGGGAGGGCTGGTGGCCTGCGCGGGGGAGCTTTCCGGCGTTTTAAGCCCTTTATTATAAACCAGAAGATCGTTGTCACTCGTGTTGTCCAGGAGGCCCACGGGCTCCGGGAACCAGCTGCTCAGAGACAAACAACACGAAGGCCCAGGGTGCTGGCGCTCCGAGCCTACAGGAGAGCTTTGTGTGCCGGCTCCTCCCCGGGTGGCTGGTCCCCGGAGGAGGTGAATTCAGCGGGCACGCCCACGTCCCCATCGCGCGGCAGACAATGCGCAGGGTCCTCTCCTGCCGTCTCTCTAGACCCCCAGCTGTCACCGTGGCCCGGGCCGGGGTGAGCAGGGCACCCGGCGGGACAGCTAAGCTCGTCCCTGCCAGGGGTCTCAGTAAGCAGTGGGGAGGCCCAGTACCCGCTCCTTCTGCCTCCACTTCCCCAGAATCCCAGCGTCGCCCGGTTCGGGAACGCCCGGCATTGTTGCGGAGGGCCACTCTTTTGAATCCCGTATTTCAAAGACTTCCCTCGGCGAAAACGGCTTGAGGCTGTCCCTGACGCTCCAAGAAAGGCCACCCCTCCACCCCCCGCCAAATAA